GAGGACCGAAATTGGAGACCTGGCCTAGAGCCATCTTCAAACTGAAGGCCAACAGGGGGTGACAGAAACAGGCTGCAAAGTGGGCATCCCAAGAAAAAGTCACCACAAGAAGTTTCCTCACCCTGTCAGCCCTTGGGAATTTTAGGCAGTTGTCTATAGATTTGCAGTCAAGGTTTGCAGGATGATATGGCTCTCTATCCAGACAATCTCCGGTCTCATAGGCCCATCAGGTGTCAACAACATGAGCACTGGAACCTGATGGGCCAGATTCTGCCTATGGTGTTAGAACAGTAGAGTGAAAGTGTGGAGAAGACGTGGAGAATGCTTTTCTGATGGATACACTGATAGAGCGCAGACTTGTCACAAACAAGGCTTGTCATCATTGGAGGCAATCTAAATCCAGAGGATTATCGAAAACGAGATTCTGCAACTAGCGGTAATCCCACATCTCCACAGTCTGTGTCTGAACTCTATCCTTCAAGATGAAAATGACCCCACAGACTGGGGTTTATCAGAGACTACTTCCAGAATTTGGGAGTGGGGAGGATGTTAATGACCTTAACCATGCTGAACAGTGGTTGGATCAGCTTGGGCCTGCTGTTTCTACCAGATTAACCAACACAAACACAGAAAGAAGCCATCTATGTTCACTGTGAACGACCATCTTTGAATAGACGGAGTGGTTTACGACACCAACTCTCTGCCACTTACAATCCAGGTTTGAGATCCCTTCCCAGGTGCCTTAATGCCCACTCATATCTTACATCAGTTGATCTCAATGGATCACATGGTAGGGTGAGGCAAGGTCTCACAATGGTTTCACCCCAAACCTCTGCTGATAATGACCCACACCCTCTTTCACACCTTGGCTCATGTGATGAGGCACGTGATCAACAGTGGGGCAAACGACCCTGTTAAGGGACAACTTCCACCAGGGTTAAAATCTGGGACTTTTGTCCTAGAACTGAAGAAGCTTCTGAGATGAGAGGTCAAACGTCTCCAAGAAACTTAAAAAAGTCAGGTTGCTTTTCTTTCCAACCTGCTTATATAAGCATGCTCTGGATGACTGAGAACTCACACAGACGTAGTGACCAAACACAAACTTTATTCATTTTTCTACCACGTTTATGTATATGCAACCAGTAATGAGAAGAGGTACAGTGTTTCAGCCTCCCAAATCCATCATGGCTCATGTCTGCAAATCACCAGGCATGACTGCATCATTGAAATTGGCAGCATTAATCAGTATAACACCACCACAACAAGCAGTAGTAAACATTTGAAGTTGTGTGAAGGACAAGCTGTCTTCTCAGAGAACAAGGCATGAAAAAAACACAGCAGGGCTTTTACAGGAAATGTAACTGATAAAAATCCAGTAAAAGTAGTGGGATGCACGGGAACAAGTTGTAAATTTTGAATTTGCAGTTAAAGAGGATTTTTGTCTTTATGTTTGATTTGAACCCAAAACGAGTAAGCCCAAGCTGTCATCCACAAAGTCAAAATTGTCTTATTTCTTGTCTGTTTATAATCTTGACCTCTCCTAGTCCTGCTGCAAGCCTGTAAAACCCACTGACAGACTCTATGTCCATCAGTATTTGGTCATATAAATAAACCTGACTTTACATGACTAATTATGGGCATTTCATTACCCATCAACAGATTTGAGTTAATGTCACTATATAGTAGAATTATTATCAGTACTAATTGGACACTTTATTAGGTACACCTTACTAGCACTAGATTGAACCGCCTTTTGCCTTCAAAGCTGCCTTAATTCTTAATAGAAAAAAAGATTGAACAAGAAGCTTTGAACATAGAAACATAATGACAATAGAAGGATTCTTCTTCTTCTCATTTGTTGGAGGCGTAGTTTTAATGTTTTATTCTGTGTGTGTATTCTGCATGGCAAGGGAGTTGGACCCAGTAAGGCCTTTCCCAGCAAGCTATAACCGATGAAAAAAAAAAATTTCTGTCATGGCTGGTGCTAGGGCATCTATTTCAAGACTGCTGCACCTGCACCTGAGCATGTGATATATAAGTGGGACTTGTAGCCTGGGTTTAGTTTTTAGCTTTGAAAATCCCCTGGGATTGTCTTATTGTAAATAAATGATGTTATTTGCTACTCTTGACTCATTGCCTACCACCGCCCTTTGATTTTTTCTAAACTTTCTTTCTCCTTTTCCTTGATTACACATCCGGTCCATATTTACATGACAGAATCAATCACACAATTTCTGCAGATTTATCAGCTGTGTATAATCTGTATCGCCTGTTCCACCACATCCCAAAGATGCTCGATTGGATTGAGATCTGGTGACTGTGGAGCCGCTGTCATGTTCAAGAAACCAGCTTGAGATCATGTGATATGGTGTGTTATCCTATTTATCCTGCCTATCAGAACATGGGTACACTGTGGTAAAAAAGAGATGAACATGACCAGCAACAATAGGTAGGCTGTGTGCTCTCTTGGTAATTAGGGGCCCAAAGTGTGCCAAGAAAATATCTCTCACACCATTGCACCACGACCAGCAGCCTAAACCACTGATTCAAAGCAGGATGAATCTGCCTTTTCATGTCGTTTACTCCAAATTCTGACCCTACCATCCAAATGTCATCAGGCAACATTTTTCCAATCCCATGTGAACTGCAGCCTCCGATTCCGGAGTGGTGCCTGATGTGGTCTTCTGCTGCTGTACCTCATCGGCTTCATGGTTCAACAAGTGGGTTCAGAGATGCTTTTCTTCATTCCTCATACTTGGTAAAAGTACAGACATTCTGTACTTAAGTTGAAGTGCAAATACTACTGTTAAAAAATACTCCAGTAAAATTTGAAATATTGATCCATATTCTTTAGTCAAGTAAAAATAAAAAAGTACTGGCATCATTTTAGAAATGAGCTTCCTCCGAAGGGTGGCTGGCCTCTCCCTTAGAGATAGGGTGAGAGGTTCAGCCATCCGGGAGGGGCTCAGAGTAGAGCAGCTACTCTTCCACATCGAAAGGAGCCAGCTGAGGTGGTTCGGGCATCTGACAAGGATGCCTCCTGGGTGAGGTGTTCCGGGCATGTCCCACCGGGAGGAGGCCCTGGGGATGACCCAGGACACGCTGGAGAGATTTTATTTCTCGGCTGGCCTAAGAACGCCTTGGTGTTCCCCCGGATAAGCTGGAGGAGGTGGCTGAGGAGAGGGAGGTCTGGGCTTCTCTGCTTGGGCTGCTGCCCCCGCAACCCAGAAGTGGAAGAAGATGAATGGATCATTTTAGAGGAGAGGGTGACTTTGCCTATAAACATAAAAGTGTGTACAGTCAGGAGTTAAAGAGGGGCTTTATCAGGTGGGGAACTTTAAAATCGGTTGTAATGGCTCAGTGTGGGAAAAGAATCATATGTCACAATAATTTCTACTGAGAGCTCGAGTAGATTTTCTTAGTTTACAGGCTGTGATGAGCTGACCTACCGCTCTCTGTGCATGTACACAACTTAATTCAGCCAGATGTGAGCAGATGCTTCATGTGTTGTCCTGGCTGATTTCCATCCTCTACACTGACAGTACACCGTTTATGTTGGGTTTTTTCTAGAACATATAAAGTTGGTATGAAGTCAATGGATCTAAGCATCATCAGCTAAAATCTATATGAATCTCTGCTACTGTTCATGTAACCTAACTCTGTTCTTTACTTTAAGCATCACAGTACAGCAAACTAACCTGTTTATACTGCACTAACCTCCTGAGGATTTTCATGCAGCCTTTAGATAACACATCAGTCTACCTAAGTTTGTTTTGCAGCAGATTTCACAACATAAAAAACAGACCCAATCTTGATTTATAAACATGAGGACTTAGAGCTTACTTAGTGCCTTACTTATGTAAGCTTAGCTTAAATTTTCCAGTTAATCAAACACCACTGATCAGTCCTTATCTTTAAATCAAACCTCCTCTTCCTCTGCTGCCCCCTTTCTCATCTTTCTCCATCTCCGAGTGAAGTTAGTTCTCTGTCTTTTCTCTTCCTGTGAAATACAGCAGCTAGACCTTCAGCTAGCAACACACTGAGACAAACCACACAGTTTATGTGTTTTCTGATGTTTGTTGATTTCTATGTCGCACATAGAATTGTAACATTTGAAATTACACTTGAAACAAGTAATCAGAAAAAACACTACTCAAGTACAGATACCTGAAAACTGCACTTAAGATCAGTAAATATTTGTAATTCATTACTTCCCACCTCTGTTCCTTGGTTGGTTACAAGTGGTTATTTGAGTTACTATTTCCTTATTGTCAACTCAAAGCAGTCTGGCCATTCTCCACTGAGGGTCTTTTTCCAGTACTTAAAACACCTCTCCTCCCCACTCTGATGCTTGGTATCAACTTCAGCAGGTGATCTTAACCATGTCTGCACACCTAAATCCATTGGGTTGCTGCTATGTGTTTGGCTGATGTTAATGAGCACTTGTACAACTGTGAATAGCAAAATGTAGTTTTAATGACACAGGAGAGCTTTGATAGGTGCATCTGATTTTCTTTTTTTCAAAGCTCTCAACAATAACGATGTAGAACAAAATATAAATCATACAAGCAACAGTACAAATTCTCAGAAAGTACATAAGTAATAAGTAAATAAAAACTATATAATAAACCTTTCAGTCAGAGGTGAAGCTGATACATGTATCTGTGTACAGCTTTAACACTGGAAGGTTTTTTGGACCCCAGGAAGAATAATGCTGAGTTTAACTAATATGATTACATGTACATTTTCCACGAAGGTTTGAAAAACGTTAAATTTAATGGAATCTGGTCAAATGGAATTTACCTGATTGGTAAGTTTATACCAGGCGTACCAATCCTTAGATTTTCTATATTTCAGGTTTTTGTTTTGTTTTTGTTTTTTTAGCCTAATAAACTAACCACATATGCCGTGCTGCCACGAAGCGGTCAAACGGCATGATTGCAAAAAAAAATCCGCTCGCATTCTATTGGTTAATTAAACGTGACGTAACCCGGTAAAAACGGAAGTGTTGACGAAGTAACTGACAGCTTTTGTTTTCTGTTCCTTCAATAGGCAAGTGTGGCTCTTTTACTTGGTAGTTTTAACAGGTAAGCTTTGTGTTACTTCTCCGCAATTTTATGTAATGACAGTGCAGCATTACAAGATGTTTATAGGCACACTGCGAAGGCAGCGATGTCATAAAAGAGAGACACGACAGTCAACCAGCACTGAACTGAACTCTATGGAGTAATCCTGTAGAAGTAAAGATGCTGATAAAATGATATCTCGCAGTGGGGCTTTAAAACCAAAGTCACCGAACATTTTCAGAGGTTTTGACTGTTTAGTTTTTCTGTGTTGACGAACTTTACAACCTCGAAATAACTTCCTGGACCCGTTTCGTTAAGGTCGGGGTTGCCAGGTGCAACAGTGACACTGCTCGTCACTGGTTCACTGGAAGCTGTTTCCTTTCCACTCAGCTGTGTGTGATTTCTCCTCACAGCTACAGATATGAGCGACCTTCCCGTGAACCCTCTGGTTCTGATTGGTATCGGGTCCAGTTTTGCCTTCTCCGGCCTGTTTTATCACCTGTACAAAGAGAAGAAGAGAGAGTTGAAAGCGCTAAAGGCAAGTGACATGTCTGCTGTAAACCTTACACACAGTCTGACCTTTATCATTCAAGTCAATCTTCTCCATTTTTAGGAAATCCCTGTTTTCAGACCAGATGAAGATTTGGTCAGGGTGCTGAATGCCACTCCCCACAGGCGGCTCCAGTATGTTGCTGTTGAAGGTAGAAATATGTCAACACACTGAATGAGCTCAGTCCTGGAGAGAGAGTTTTAAGAAGACTAATGATTTCCTACATGTCTGGTTTAAGGTCAGGTCCAGGCAGACGGGGAGCCTCTGAACAGCCAGTTCATCCCACGATGCTACGGTGTGATTCAGAAGATTGTTACAGTGGAGCATTGGAAATACTGGGACTCCAGTGCTGCGAAATGGTGAATACCACTAAATAATACACCACAAATGTCTTTTTATTAATCTTCTGCTCTACTGAGAATGCATTCTCTTACAGGAACACCCGGATAGGGTGCAAAAAAGAGAGCAACAACTCTGTGCCCTTCAGTCTGATCAGCCCAGACGCCTACATCTCTGATGCAAGTGTGAGGGTGCACAACCCTTTAGAGGCCTCCGGCTGCTTTCTGGAAAGGGTTTATTACAAAATCAGAAATGCTGAGGAGGACCTTGTGAACTCATTGCTGCAAACCGTGGGTGGGGAGAAACCAGTGTCGAAGGAGGAGACGGAGGAAATGCTGCGCGTGGGGACCACCGTGACGGGGTTCGGCGAGGTGGTGCTGGAGCGAGGCCAGGTGATGAGGCTACAGGCCCCAAAGGGTGGCCGCAAATACATCCTGGTGCCCACTGACCACAATAGCTTTTTGGACAGCCACAGGTCGTCAGCTGCCATGTGGAAGGCGCTGTCTGCCTTTACTGGGATAACTGGAACTGTAGTTCTGGCCTGTGTCATTCGTAGCTTGATGGATAAGCGAGACGAACGATCAAATTAGGGCAGAAGACGAAGGGTTTGGTGCAGGTTTTACTGGTTGCTAAAGTTGTGTCACAGCCTTTTCAATGCCTTTGGTGTTCTTTCATAGATTCTTTAACAAACTCTCAGTGCTGACATAATTCTCTTGCATATTTTGAGTAGTTACAACGCTCACGGGCAGTTTCCTGTCATGTTCCAAGGCAAGCTTAGGGATTTCCAATCATGACCATGGGGGTGAAAAATTAGAGACACTGGTGCGAATTAAACTTTTAATACACATAAACAAAACTGTAAATGTAACCTCAGTAAAACAAAAAGAAGCCAAATTCATAATAGTTCTGCATTTTTAAAATGCATTGGTTTTATATTTTGAAGTATTTTGTCCCTCCCAGCCACCGTACTGAGCTAAATACTTCACAGATCTGCTAAATGAAAATTGTAATAAGTGTTCTCTAAGTTAATTAGATAAAGATTCAGTTCAGAAGCGTGTAAACATGCTTAAAGAGGAGTTAAAGACTGGTTTGGTTTGTTAAAGGCAGGCTGAAACCTGTGCACTGTGATTTTTTTTTTTTTTTTTTTTGTGATGTTTCATGTAACATTATCTTAATCAAAACTGACGTTTTATTTTTGTTATAAAATTGTATTTTTCTAATTAATTGAGATTAAAGTAAGTGTAATTTTACTCTTGGGTTAACACACACACACTGTACATTCAAGCTGTTATTTATGATTTGTAATGATTGCAGTTTATGCTTTACTTTTACTGTTGGTGCATTCCTTATGCAAACTGTCCACTCCTGACCATGAACTCATTCCACATCCACCATAAAGAGGCTTCAAGTATCTTTAATACAGCTTATGGTCAAAAGTAAAGAGGTGTATCCTTGCATCTTCTACATCCTTGCATAGAGCAGCCAAGATGGAAGGAAGCGTGTTCGCATAAAGAGAAGCGTTCTCTGAATCTGCCCAGAGAATTAATGAAATGTTTCATTTTCGTCAAATGATGAGACAGGAAGGCTTGAAATCTTATTATACTACAGTCTCCTACCTCTTGGATACTTTCCTTCTGTTCTGTTTTTAAGGTGAACAATCAGTTTCATTAAATAAAAAAAAATGACACAGTTGTCTGTTAAAACTTTTATTCCAAGCAGACCACAGGTCCTTTATTTGGATATTGACATTCACACCAGCCTTTACACGGCGTGGCATAACGTGATTAAAATATGTCCACTTCAGCTACGCCGAGCACGTCCAGATGGTAACTAGATGCAGAAGCGTAAGAGTTCACCTTGTCATAACTTAAACTGCTCGTCATTACTCTCCATCCTCCTCCGAAGACTCCTCAGCCTCTTCCAACCACTGGATGAACTTCTGCAGCTGTTTGAGATAAATAGATAAATAGTTGTTAGAAACCATGAAACTGCAGAGGCCGTGAATGTAAAGCTATACTCAGGCTCAAATGTGAGTAAATGAGGAAAGAATATATATAGCAGTCTATAGGCTGTTTCTCAAACATACGTACAGCACCCTTTTTTCTGTTTTCTATCCAGATGATCCCACACGGCTTCAATAATGTTAGATCTGGGCTCTGGGAAGGCCAGCCCATCATAATGATAGTGTTTCACTACATGTTTTTGTATCCAGGTGTGCATACACAATTGTCGCAGGTGTGTTTTTACTGCTTTGGTCGTGTATTTGGGATCATTATCATGGTGAAAGATGAAGTTGTTGCCAATCAGATGCTACTGTATTAGGAATCAAATCTGAGAGTATTTTGACAAGATCCCCAACACCACTGGGAGCAATGCATCTCCAAACCATGAATGAGCCTCCACACTGTAATACAGATGGCTGCAGACACTGTTGTACCTCCATACATACTGTCAACAACGTGAACCAGAAAGTTTCAAATTTGCATTCATCAGTCTGTAAGATCTGTCACCAATAATTTTCAGAGCACTTCTTGTGTAATTTGGCAAACCTCAGACTTGTCTCCCTGTTTCACTTCCTTAAGAGAGGCTTCTTGACAGCCACTTTCCTACTGACAGTTTCTTATGAGGCTTCATGAACAGTAGACGGATCGACTAAAGGCTCTCTCAGTCACATCTTTGCAGGATATATATATAAATTTAAAATTGGTTCTTTGGTCTGCTATGTGTAAACAGCACTGGTTTATAGTTAGATGCCTTCACAGGTCATAGGTTGGTGTTAAGTGGCTTAACAGACAAAACGAATTCCTCTGAAAAAGATCAGTTACAAGGACTGGACTAAAAGTGAGTGAAAAAGAAGCCAATGCCCAAAGAAAAACTGAAAGAGTTTCAGAAAGCCTGGAGAATTAAAATATTACAGGAATGTCTGGGCCTCTTGGAAACAAAATATTTAAAAAATGGGGGTTAGCTCGACTGTACATTTGCACAGTACTGTAATTCCTTTCTTTACATATACATACATTTACACTAAACCTGTTCATAATGTGAATACTGAGCTTAAACTTTGTTGCTGCTCTGTGCTGTCTCCTGTAGTTCACACTGTACTTACCCCTTGGTTTTTGCGGAGCTGTCTGCTTTTGTCACTGGTGGCTCCCTGAGAGAACCAGCGCAGTATCATTTCCTCCTCCAAGATTTCCAGCTCGTACATATTCATGAGGACCTGAGTTACAAACAAAGCAGCATATTCATCCTCATCCTAACAGGCTGGATAAAGACACAGCAAACAATTCAAACCATTGATTTTAACAATGCAGTTTTGCACGTATAAGTGCTCATTGCTCCTGACCTTGACCATAGCAGCCCAGTGGCTCTCCTGCTCCAGGAAGTGTTCCTCAAAGGCAGACAGGCAGTCTAGATGGTCCTGTGCTCTCTTCACATAATTCTTAAACACTGGCGCCCATTTCTTCAATAGCTGACAGCAGCACAAAGAAAAAGAAAAAAAGAAATGGAAAATAATTAAGAATTTTTTTGGGTTTTTTCTGAGCTTCTGTTTTGTCATATTAAAAGACTTGTATCTTATTCACCGGCAGAAGCAGAGTAACGTATTGTGAAGGGGTGAGATGTGTGCCCTGCTGCTGGAAAGGGTACTCCAGTACCACTCGGGTTAAAATCTGCATCACCTCTTTCAGATTGATATTGTAGGCATACCTGGAAAAGGGAGGTTGGAGGGGGATTGGGAAATGTCAAACTAAGCAACAATCACTGCAAAGACGAGCAACACAGGTGTGAGTCAGTTCCCCCTTACTTTAGAGAGTTGATCTCAAGTACGAGGTTGTCACAGCTGATGTTCTCCTCCAAACCTCTCTGCAGGGTCCCGAGCACCTCCATGTGGAAGACTACATAAGAGAAAAAAACATGTATTAGTATTATTATTCATTTTGCAGTTTGTGTTGTCATTTTCGGGCCAGGAGGGGGCAGTATGAGAGTTCCACATGCAAGCTAGCTAAATGAGACATGCCCTCTCACCTTTGACATCATCCATCTCAGGGGAAGGAATCACCGGGTCATCGGGGTCATCAGTGTCGCTGTCTTCACTGTCACTCTCAGGGTCTGGATTCAACACCAAGCCTGGGAACACACAAAAACAAGCATGCTGGGACTTCAGCTGAAGCATCATGGGAAATGCCAGTTCCATGACGATGAACTGCTGCTCTACCCCAGAGACACTGCGACAGCTCCTCTTCCTCTGTGACATCCAGACTGCTGGCCTTCCAGATGTAGCCTTTTCCTTCTGCTCCAACTTCTGCAGGATTGAAAACTAGAAGACAGGAGAACATTCACATCAAGCAGCTTGATAACATATAAACTGATCTAATACAGACTTAATACACACCTTTCTGTTTGGTTTTGTCCGATCTTTGGCCAACCTCAGCGTCATCACTGAGGAATTCATCGTCATCCTCCTCTTCCTCCTCTGGATGGTGCATAGACACCACGGTGCCTTCTGGTAGAGAGATGTTTGGTCCAATTACCACCTGTAAAACAGTTCATAGAAACATTCAAATACGCAGATACTGCAAATCTGACTTTATATCTGATGACGTTTTACAAGACGATCACTGAATGCACGTCCCTGATTTCATGCATTGAACTAAGCGCGTGTACAAATAGCTATATATTTGTACTACTACTGTGGGTAATTACTTTTGCAGCAGGAAGGTGCAAAGGAGCAACAGCCAGCAGACTGTAAGCCAAATCTGAAACCCTGTTTCCAGTTTGATTAAGACTAGTAAAATCATTCTCTTTTAGCGTAAATCAAAGCTACTTTTGGACATAAAAAAAGAACACAAGACTAAATATGAAGGACACAGGCAACCAACTGATTGGCTGAACTTTGCACAGATGCTAAAACCAAAATTCTTCTATCAGTATTGCTCAATATCTGACATAGTGTGGCACTGCAGTGGATATATGTCAGATTATTTTTTGCCCAGATTTGTGGCATCTCTACTAGACTCCAGAGGGTCACAGCTACTACACTAAATCCAGTTAAGAACCAGATATTTGCTGCGGTTATATTTCTGCAATAACAAGCCATTTTAGATCCTTTCACAGTTTTTGTCAAATCTGCTTATGTTTTCTCTAAAAAGGAGCAAAGAAATGTCAAGAAAAATGGAAAATTTGCCAGTCAAAATGCAATATCCTTAAACGCCTTTAAAATTCAACATCAATTTGCCACCAGACAGAGTTTGCTTTGCAATCGGATATAAAAGATGATGTGGAGCTTACATCATATGCTAGAACACACTGTTTCTTAAGAGTCACGCCCTCTTTGACCTCAGCCTTGTTGCAGATGACAGACTGGATGATCTCCACATTACTGGCAATGTGAACATGATTCCAGATGTAGGCATGATCCAGGACTACATTGTCACCTATTGCAGTGAACCAATAAAAAAAGAAAAATGTTAACTACACTTCTATAACTTAAAAATTGAAGCACTGAGTTTGAGTGGTGCTGGCCAGAGAGCTCACCTATGATGCAGTTGTCACCGATGACACTGTTCGAGATGTAACAGTTGGCACCGATGCTGGTATCACAGCCGATAAGAACGTTCTCCTCCATCTGGCTGCCATGGCCCAGGCTGACACCAGACGCCCTGTAGACATTGTGGCGAGAGTATGTGCAGCTATGTCCCTCCTGGTCTGTGAAGTTGGCCTCGGGGGTCAGGGGATAGACCCACCGCCGCACAAGGTCAGACGACACTGAGTCATACATTAGAAGGTTCGACACTCGGACACCATATCCGTCCTGTGTGACATGCACATGGATCTGGTTGCCTAGAATCTAAACAAAGAAAATGAACAAGGGTCAGAAATGCTCTAAATATTTTTTGTGGCATTATTCAAATTTCAGCATAATAATGCTTCCATAGTACCTCTTCATTGACCAAAAGCCCTCTAACAAAGTCATCTCTAGTTTGGTAGTCAAAATTGTCAGTGAAAAGCTCAGCAACCTGAAAAAATGACATCAAAAACAACAATGTTACTGCAGCCAACAATGACAGTTAAATATTTCCCCTGTGTGGACCAAAACCAACCTGCGGGGAGCAGATACTGATGTGGCTGTCCAGGAGGTCATGTCTGATTTCAAATTCCTCACTTCCACTGTGGAAAATATTCTGCAAGTACGACAAAGACTCAAAAAGTCAATCGAACCCCAAAATGCATCAAAGATATAACAGACTGCCAAAGATACAACTGTTTACCATTGGAAACTGTAGCTTCTTGAGCCCTTGTGTCTTCTGATAGTGTAAAATCTGCTGGCTCTTGCTGTCCACTGCCACAATGACGTTGTCTTCCTCACAACGAGACCTGTGACCCGGCGACGATTCTTTAAAGATCATGGTCATCACTGAGATGTTCTTGTCCATCTTTCGGCGATGCCTTAAGTGCACAAAAACACAGCCTTGTGGAAACACTTAGATCAACACCATTTCTCATGTAGAAAAAGGCTGGCCGGTGGACTTTTACCTGTGCTCCTGCAGAGCCTGGCTGACATCAATATTGGATACCACATCTCCGTAAACCAATATAAAGTCTGAGCGCACCAGGGACTTTGCATCAACATCCCGTAGCACATCCCCAAGGGAGCGGTACAGGTCCGAAGTAATGATGTGGACTGTGTTTGGAGAACTGGGTCGACACCACTTTGATTTCCTGTCAGACACAATATTCATAAGTTTTAATACAATAAGCTTCAGAAAACAAAAGCTCACACACACAGTAGCAGGGAAACTCACTGCAAGTGCGCCTTGATTTTACTGGCCATCCAGCAGCAGAATACAAATGTTTCCTGCACTCCAGTAGAAGTGAGGAACTCCAAGGTGTAGTCGATCATGGCAACGTTACCCAGCGGCAGCAGCGCCTGTCATCAATGAAAATCTGACAGTTAAGTGGAGCTAAACAATCCCGAGACTCGCGTGATTCTCTCATTTTAGCAACTACTGTACAGACAGCAACAAGCACGAGTTCAAATTTTGTTTGATTAAATGCTTTCATCATCGGTATGAGTGATGCCCTGTCACTGTTTACAGCATGGACACAAGCTAGCCTCCATTAGCATTTTGGTTAGCTTAGCTCACTGCCTACCCGCGGCTGGTCTTTGGTCACTGGGAAAAACCTCCGGTTGAAGCTGTCAGCGACTAAAACCGCCTGCAGCGGCTGTTCCTCTTCCTCCTGGTCTCCTGCACCTTTTCTACATGAAAGACCAGACGCCGACCGACTTTGTTTCCCCCCCTTACTAGCCATGTTTGACTCCCAGGTAGTAAGTATCAAACGCTTTCGTCAGACACAGCTACGGCAGCTGTAGCGGGACAATTCTGTGGTAGACAATCCCCGCGAGAGCGCGTGTGTGAAGAAAATTACAGTTTAATTTTCGTGGGTCACATACACATGTGGCCGCACATGTATGAATAACGCATGTATGATAACAGTGCCAAACAGCAAAGTTGAAACAACACCACACCAGGGATGTCGGTCAGTAAGCGCATTTCCTTACTGATTTCACTCAGGCCTGTCCACGGTGCTCACCGCTTCTCGCCCTAAGGTAGCAGAGTTCCGTTGATGGAACCAGATGTGCAGCCTACCAGTTCCAGATGCACTAATGCACCCTCATAGACCTGATTGGAAAATCAGGTTTGTGAACTGAGTACTGATGTTTTCTTTTCCAAAAAGAACTTCGAAATCTCGATTAGTCTGACCACAAAACAGTTTTTTTTCACTATGTCTCACTCAATTTCAAAAGAGCTGTGGCCGCAAGAAGATGATCGCATTTTCACCTGAGTTTGTGGATGGCAGTGATTTCCATGACAGAATCATGCCTGTTTTTAAGGCAGTGCCACTGGCTCAGAGTGCAGTCCCACAATTCTCTGTTTCTTGATATTATGTGTTGTAGATGATTCAAAGCCATTGGGATGAAAATTATTATAAAACTGTTTCACAATTTATAGTTTTTCTTTTACATAGTGGTGAACCTCTGCACCTCTGCCCACCTTTACTTGAGAAGCTTTGCCCCTCTAAGATGCTCTTTTTATTTCCAGTCCTGTTAATGACCTGTTCCCAGCTAACTTAATTAGTTCCAAAATGTTCCTCTACCCGTTTCTTTTCAGTGCCACCTACTTTTCCAGTCTTTTGTTGTCCTCATGCCTACCCTTTTTTGAGACATGGAGCTGTCATCAAATTTAAAACCTTATTTGTCTTATAATGGCACATCCTCTCAGTTTAAACATTTCATATGTTCTCTGTGTTCTGTGAATAAAATGTGGGTTTATGCAGTTTTCAAATCAGTGCATTCTGTGTTTAATTACATTTCACACAGCGTCCTGTTTTATTAACTAATTTGGTGTGGTTATAGATTTTAAAAGAGATTACAAAATATTCATCTGGTGTAAATGAAATCCACGCTCGAGCTGCTGAAATTTTTTAAATTACATAAAAGAAAAATGTGACCTCCATGTGGAACATGGAATCTCAGTACACTCATACAATCAGCTCCTGTTAATGTTTTATTAATTTTATGATCCTGGCACTGGAAGGCTAAGTACAGCAGTTTATTTCAGCTTCAAAGGAAATTTTCATTCAATACTAAAAGGAAAGACAGATGTGTGAGTTATAAAAGCACACTGTAAAATAAATAAAGGAAGGTATTATTTGTCTTTTTATTGATGGCCTTTACATCTCTGATGTGCTTGCTGAAGTTTATGGGCTCTTCATACAACTTGTGGCTTTACATAAATGCAGTATTGGATATTGGAAAAACATCATTTGCAAAAACTGTGGTGCATGGACTCTTTTTCTCTAAACTCCTATATTTTGTGTTGGACCACAAATCGCACTGTCAATATGAATAATGCTTAAATGACACATATATAGTCCAGAAATAGTAATTTAAATAGTAATTCATTTTTAAAATAATGATGATCTTTACCATATCTTCTCACAGAACATGTGAACAACCTGTTTTACTTTAACAGAAACAAAAACATCTGGCTCCTGCCATCCAGACATTTAAACAGGAACCATCATTCGCTGTTCTGTCAAAGCTCGACAGTTTGTCACACCGTTCTCTCTAAGCCTTCTTAAAAGGCATTACGCCGACAGGTGTTTGGTTATCTTCTTGGTATGCTCCAACACCAAGTCGTATTGCAGGGTCTTGGACTTCCAGGACTCCGGGATTCCCTCAGGTCCGACCTAGAAAAATGAGAACAGAACATTTCATAAATCAAACTTAAAATATGTGCACGTGAATATATTAGATTAGCAGACAGCCCCACCTGAGCCCCAAGACAGGCTCCTATGAAGGATCCTCTGCTGCAGGTGCATCCCCCGCAGCTCATGGTGTCTCTGACAGCCGTCTCATAGCGAGTGGCTGTCAGGACTCCGTGCAGCGCGGCTTGGAACGCACCGGGCAAACCTGAAACATCAGAGGCAGATGTGAATGGCATGAAGGCATTTTTCCTGGTTTGTCTCACAGCTATCCAAATTACACATACCGCTTTTTTACCACGTTACTGTTAAGGGCTACACTGATGGCAGAGGTTGAAGGAGCTTATCAAAGATACCTCATGCATTTGTGAAGACAGAGGGGATCAGCTCTTGCGGAGTTTTGGATAAATTCTCCTTCACCTGGTGGATGTGTCCTGAAATCAGGCAGAGAGGGTGCAGTAGCGAGTCACACATAAGATGAGATGTTAACTAAACTAAACATAACTCTCTGCATATCTCTTTATCCTATCATCATTATGTCACATTGGAACTGAACCTTCAGAGAATAAGGTAAAATAAACTCTTTGATCACATGAGTCGGTCTCATGACTTTAACACAGGGAAGGAAATATGCTGCTGGCCTCACGTACCGATGACTGCTTTGTCTAAATCTTGAGGCTGCTTTCTGTTTGGGTCATTCAGCTGATTGAGCACCGCGTCCAAGGCTTTTGGATCTGGACCATTCAGGATGAAATGTTCCAGAAACCTGGGAAAAGAAGTCAGTGTGGAGCATTTCCGTTTTATGTTTTTCTTTATACATCTTTGTAGAACAGTATTAAATATGTGTTCTGATTTTGCCTCACTACAGAGAAAGGTGTAATCAACCATGCAGCCAAACTGGAATGATCTTTAGAGACACTCAGCTTTCATGTGGCTGATCAGTTTATTAAAATGTGAAATGTGTTCTCTTCCCTATTTTTATACTCTCTGCTCCAAATACTTCTTATTATGCCCACTTTTAATTACCAGATCTAATAGTCTATTGTGGTTTCCAGGTTAAAAACTAAGTTTTATTATTAACCCTTAAATAGCCAATTCTAATCCAACATGTGTAAATAAGTGAAACTGGTGTGCTGGAAGATGTCCTGACCTCGCTGCTGCTAGAGTCTCTGCCACACATTCATCATTGTTCTGGGTGACACGGATGGCCTGTTCCACCTTCTCCAGCATATCGGGCTGTCCTGCATAAAAAGCCACTATAGGAGCCAGTTTGGCTATTCCATCAATCTGACAGTCGTTCTCACAACCTGAAGGAAACCAGCACATATTTAGGTTAGAGATGTTTGTCTTCATAACGTCAAACTGTGAATAATTTCAGAAGCTTTACCCGTCTCCTCTTTGCCTGCATCCACATTCTTCAGGAAGCTCTTTAAACTTGCATGTCTCCACGGCCCATCGATGGGCAGCTGAGGTCTTGGCCCTGCAGAAGTCCAAATTGCATATTTTGTCAAAAAGGTAACGGACCTCAGGGATATCTCCAAGATTTCTCTTACCTCCCCTCTCTCTGTAAGGATCATTGACGGGCATGTCATACTCTGATCCTGGCCCAAAAACTTTCAGTGTGCGCTGCTTCAGGTCATCAATGTTTAGACCTGGTCAGAGAGATCAGGCATCTTAGACAGTGTGTGAAAATTCCCTACACACTGCACGAACTGAGTCCCTGCATGTAGACTATGTGGCTCTAGAGTAATGCGTAATATTTCTTTGAGGACAGCCCACTTTCTTCTATTTTCCTTATATCACTTGTACAGATATGAGGCAATTTCATGTGTCCAGTTCTAGTTAATCCCTTTATGTTGGACCAAGTGCTACTTCTGGTAGAATTTAAAGCAAATCCATCCATAACTTTATCAATAATTCTACTGACAAACAGAAAAAACAAACTGAATCAACTGCATAACTTCGCTTGCTGTAGATAGTAGTAATCTGAAACCTACTATGACCTATAGAAATGTAAGTTTAGTTTAATTTTAGGGATAAAGTCAGCAGCACTACCTCCACATTCAGACAGGGACTCCAGCAGGACATATGCCTGGTCTCCATAGCAACTCTGCTTGCCAGTCTCCCTCCTGTAAAAAGGGTTAGCGGACTCAGGGTGGAATTCTGGGTTTGGATTCAGAGCCAGGATCCCCTTTAACTTCTGGAGGTCGTACACCCAGTGGAGAGGCTGTGCTGCAAGAGACAAGATAATTACACTCTGAACCTTGACATTACTCACAACCTAAGGAGATGTGTTAAAAAAAAAAAAGGACTGAAAATCCACTTCCACTCGTACAACCTGAAGATCTGAGTACTCAACTCAAACCAGGAAGCTCTCAGCTCAGCTGAAAGATACCTGCTAACCTTATGGCAGCTCAAAAGTTATAGTCTTGACACATTTGACAGGCGACAGAGTTTATCAGTCTCTCACATTGTTGTGGAAGAAATCTGGCCCACTCTTCTTTACAAAATTGATTTAGTTCATTGATGTCTGTTTTCATTTATGCACAGTTCTCTTAAGGTCCCATAATCGAATTGCAATCAGGGTGAGGTCTGGACTTTGACTGGCCCATCGCAACACGTGGATTCTTTTATTTTTCCAGCGATTTTTTTTTTAAGAGATTTGCTGCTGTCCTTGGATCATTGTCTTGTTGCATGATCCAATTTTGAGGTGCCTGAGGTGCTCACACTTGTGATGATCAATTAATCAGGTGCACCACTAAACTCACCCTGCCATGGAAGTAGTATGGTGATATTGAGTGTTTCACAGAACAGCATTTTAGTCCCCTATAAAAACTGTCTTTCCAGTTATTAAACACAAGCATGATTACTTTCATAGATCATCAATGTACAACAAGTGTGACACTATTAATACCTGCAGCATCTGCCACTGCTGATCCCATGATGGCTCCTATTGCCCTGTTTGCCAGAGCTGAAGCCATCTGCAAAAATGTACAAAGAATTACATACATTAAAAAAAAAAAGAAATTTTAAATGAAATGAACAGTTAATTTCATTATTTTGGCAGAGTGGACTGTTTAAATTTTCTTAAAATTAACATTTTCTGTTTCCCGCTTTAG